AAGCCCAAAGTGGGCGGGGCAGGCGTGTCACAATTAGTGACAGTAGAACGTAATAGACCGTCAGTCACAGAGTCAAATTGTTGCGAGCTGACGGGTTGCTGCTTAAGTGATATATGCGAAAATATGCAGAGTGTAAAAATGAAAGTAAACAATAAAAATATTTTGAATAGAGATGTTTTGTACTAAAGGCATGTGTAATTTTTTAATTTTTTGGATGGAAACTTAACTAAATATGGACAAAATGTCAAATTGCATTTATTACAAGCAATATTCAACCGTATTACGTTAAGATAAGGTTCAGCTGTAAATACGTTTTGAATAAAATAGCTGCGATAGTGTTGTAACCAACATTGTAACCAACATTAAAGTTTTCGATAAAATGTTATCACAGTCCTGTTAATTCACTAACATATTATTGAAAATTTGCAAATGCTGGATGTCTTTGGAATATACGAAATTGTAGGGTGAAGCCTACGAATGAACATTTGTTAGGGTTGCTAAGCCGTAGAAATAAGTAAGTAGTTTAGTAGTACTCATGACTTTTGGAAAAAAGCTGAAATAAATGTGATCTTAATATCATGATCTACATTGGTAACCGAATTCATTATCATCTAAAATTTTATATTAAAGTGTGAACACGAAAATTTTCAATTCAAGATAATGTGTTATTTCAATGACAATAAACAATTGCTAAATTATTGTTTTTTATTATTCTCCTTGTTTCCATTTTAAAAATGATAATTTAGCTTATTGTAAATAAATTTCCATTAAATACGATTAGTTATATGGCGGCTATATGAATTACAGGGATATACGTGGTACATTATAGCAATTTCCATTAAATTTTGCTATTTTACTCATTTTATCATATATTGTTATTTTTTTCAATTTAGTTTCTTCAGTCAATTCATATATATGATAATAATCATATACTGAATATCGATTTAAGCCAGATCATGTTCAGGCAGAGTAATTACATCACTAACATCATTCCCATAGCAGTACAGGTTAGTTAGGGCATGGGTAGGGCAATATCAACGTTATATCTATTATTATTATGTCTCTAATAGCGTGAATTTATTATTGCTATATCTAACGTTAAGAAGCTAAGTTTGCTCATTAATTATAGAAACTTCTTTGATGAAAAGGAATATAATCTATATTCTTAAGAACCAACTTCTTGTTCATACTCAAATGAATCGTGACTAACATAATGCCTTTCTCTTTTATTTTTAAATAATCAATCACGTGAAAATTATTGAAATAGTACACAATTGTTGATACATATTTCTTTCTTGTGCAAGTGTGAGTTTGGCGACAGTGGTTTCGCTATAAATTATGCGTTTTGCTACTTCCTCTTGTTTTTTATATTCCGTGGTATAAACCAACATATTGTGCAAGGGAGAAGAAAATTCCTTATGGCAAAAATGCAAGATAGAAAAGGATACCAAATCTCATGACTCTGTAACACAAACTAGTAAGAAGTGCTGTAACCAATTTTGAATGACAGATCGGCATAATTCGGCACTCAAGAAATAGCTCCTAGATATTTTGCAATTTTTTAAAGTGTAATAGTGGTTATTTTTAGTAAGTAACTTTTTTCCAAAATACTTACTTGTTCAGTGAGTGATTGTGTTGTTAATAATAGAAATAATTGCACATTTCACAGGTAAATTCTCAAGATGTCGTCAATGTTATGAAGCGTTCATTTTTGGTTAAAATTTATGTTATATACTGTTTAAAATATAGAACGTTTTCAATTATTTTGTCAATTTTGATATTTTACAAAGAAAAAAGTCACGTTGTTGATAATTTGCATGAATTTGGTAAATATATTTTTATACAAAACATTTTACATGTACGGTAGGGATTGACTCAACTATATCAAAATTAATGTCGATATTTATCTTGAATATTATTAATGAATCGATAGACTTGCCTACACAACAAGAAAATAAATCCTCGGCTTGCGTTCTAAAATGTAATTTTATTTTGCCGTTTGTCAAACAGATTCCCTACGGATTCTACAATTAGAAAAAATGGTTAAGGTTCATTGGACGGGTTGGTTGTAATGCAAAGAAGAACTCAACAATTTACAGCAAACATTTTCTTGAGAAGTATTAAAGAAAAAGTAGAGTCAAAACAATTTTACTAAAAGAAGTCATTTCTACATTATTTGTACCAGTAAGTAAAATATTGTTATAATAAGACTTCAAAATTTAACTTTCAAAACTTTAGATAAATATAGATAAAGGTTGAAATTTAGAATCGTTTAGCAGGAGGGGGTAGGGGGTAAGGTAAGGGGGGGGGGGAGGGGAGTGAGCGTCCTCTTACTCCCGACGCCACTCTGATTAAAAGGTAATACACTGATTTTTCGATTCGAAGATTCGATCAGATCAGATATCTTATCTATAAAGGCAGGTTGCCTTCGCACCCGCCACATACTTCTGATCTATTACAACTGAAAGTATATCTGGGTGTTCAAATATTTCTAGGCAGTTTTAAACAATTCTGAAATAAAACAGTATAATATTATAATCATTTCTTATTTGACACTTGACAGAGAGTATAGACAGTAGAATAATGTGACACTAGTCTTACGTCTTTGTCGCACTTACACAAAATTCTGTATGCTATCCAGCTTTCACAGTAATATTGCATACGTTTTTCCATGTTTTACGCGTTTTAGGTTATAATAGTTTTTATTTATTTATTCGATAACGGTGCATTACCTTTTAATGTGAGTGGTATTATTATAATCGCAGACCAAACCTCTATCAAATAAAACAGCTTACTTCCCCAAATTCCTGCCAAACGTTTCTAAATCTAACCCTAGATAAATATAGAGACAGATTTTCATACATTAGAAAAGTGTAGTACTTTAAAGACAAAAAAAATCTTGAGATTCACCCCTTTAAGCCATTATGAATCCAACTAAGTGTCTATTTATTAACCAAAATAAATATATAACCTTACTTAACCAACCGCACAGCCTCACGGTCATACTAGTACAATATTCATAGCATCACGCTATTTTCTCTAAGGGGTTGAGCGGAGTTTTGGAATTTCGGGTGATATATTTCTGTTGCCATTATTAATGTCTTGTACTGTAGTAGTAGCAGAACTAGGAGAGTCAAGTTCCTTCTAGAAATTTCGGGACCGATATGTACTCGAACATTCTAGATATTTCTCCAGTAGAAGGTTCTGGAAACTATCTGAGGCCCTATATAAGGCCGGTATAGACCACGACCGAGTCAGTATTGAATTGGCGATACAAACGAATACTTCTAAGCGATACAACTGCGAACTAAAGTGATCTGTACAATTGTGTTTTGTAATTAGTGTGGTCTTAAGTTGTAATTAGTGTTCTTTAATTCAAGTGTCAATTTGGGTAATACACTCGGCAGTTTTTAATTGTCTCGAACCCCAAGCTCGTAACATTCCCAAGTTACAATGATAAAACTTTTAGCGTAGTTAGGCATAGATATTTAGTAATGATAGTATGATAGTATTAATTTCATAGTATTTGATACTCACAACGGTCGATGCCCGATTCATGCTCATGGCTAAATAGCTTGGTTCATCGCCTACAGCATTAGTCGTAGAGAGAAGGAACGCGTGGTTAAGTAATAGTTGCGCAGATCAATAGATTTGCGAGATTAAGTTGCACTTGCCGCGGTCAGTCCATGAATGAGTGACCATTTTCTTAACATACAGAGATTGAGAGAATAGTGAGTGCATCTGTATCCTCAGACACTTAGTCCACTTTACTGTGTTGAGATCATTATGTTTTTAAAATTCATACAGCTAAAAGCTTTATACTTTTCAGAGACAGATGAAAGAATATAAACATGAAGCATGATGAAGCCTCATAAACATATTGGCCTTTAAACGGAGCAGTCTTATTTAACTGTTTCCTACAAGTTTCCTTCCTTGAATTATTAAGTTTACATTTATACTTAAGTCGAATGTTAAAATAAAGTTCTATAATGTATTTAATAATTAATTATTAAATGTTTATAGTTATCAGAAGTAATACTTATATGAAAAATAGAGCAGCCATTATGTCCCCGTTTTATTTCCCCATCAAAACATTTTATAAAATATTTAAAATATAAATAGGTATATACTTAGTTAAGTATCTGCCTATTTATATTAACAATATGTTAAAAAAGAAATTCCGCGGAAACTGCCCACGGCAGTAAATATTTTCCCCCCAAAGATTAATATAAACACTTTTTTTTTTAAATCTTTTAACCGCTTCCTTAACAATCATTTTCGATAGTCCTTGTAAGTAAAATATCATCACTAGCTGACGCACACAATAATAAATCAAAATTATCTCTATGATACGCCAGTATATTCTAAGTCTAAGGTTGTAGCCACAAACTTGTAAGAAGTGCTAGCGCAGTTGTAGCACACTAGCACAGAGAAGGAAAGCATTGTTTCTTTTATAGTGTATACAAGTATTTCTATATTGTTTGTGCGTGTATAGGACAGTTACTATACTCTTTGATCTTTGACCATTGTAAAAAGTGACAGCTTCGTATAGCACAATTACTATACTCTTTGGTGACAGCACTAGCAGTAGTGTTTGTGTTTGCCGTCGATTATTAAACCCCCTTCTCAATTTGTTTACGTGTGCTGAATTTTGTTTCACTACGAAATGACTTAGAAATACATATTGTGGTTAAATCAGCATGATAATCCGTAAGTCATAGTAGTTTAAACATCACACGATTTGTTATTCCACATACCGAAGTACCGGACGTGTAAAGAAGCTTATAGGAAGGAAAAGGTGGCTAAACAACAATCATACATAGGTGAAAGTTAGTTTTAAAATGTTGCGTGCTAAATAGTGAAGAAATGTCTGAGGCTGGTCGAATATGAATCAATAAAGATAACTGAAATGTTTATTCAAAAATTGTAAATTTACCCTGGTATAAATATTCAAATTGTAGTGATCGTCACCAAAAATTGTTTTATATAATTAGATAGAAATGGCTTTAAAAATGGAACCAAAGAATGACCTTGATTTCATCATGAAGAATTTGTTAGCTGGAGGTATGTAACTTTCATTTACCTATTTATTAAAATTCTAAATATTGGGATTAACAGAAAAGTATTTATAATTTTATTAAATTATCAGATAAATTATCAGATAAATAAAATGATAATACAAATTGCTTCGGTAAACTTACTTATATTTATTATTAAACAAACCTTAAAGTACACCTGTGTCAGCGGTTACTCAATTCAGGTTTAAAAAAATTGAATTATGAAATATAATAGATAAATTTTTATCTTCCCTTAAGTATTTTAATGCTAGAGATTAATCTCTGTGTTAGGACTTAGTGTAAAAATTATTAATCAAATTGATATGTGTTATACCAGAATTGTACCTACCTAGGTTTAATTTTCTAGTTGAGATTTTCGAAACATATAAACCTACTTATATTGTTTATATGAAAACCATATAATATTCTTTATGTGAATTTATCAGGAGTGGCTGGCATGTGTGCAAAAACTGCAGTGGCTCCGCTTGACCGAATCAAGATTCTCCTCCAAGCTCAATCCGTGCATTATAAACACCATGGGGTGTTTGGTGGATTGTCAGCCATTGTCCGTCAAGAGTCTCTCTTTGCTTTGTACAAGGGAAATGGTGCTCAAATGGTTCGGATATTTCCCTATGCAGCCACACAGTTTACAAGTTTCGAAATATACAAGAAGGTAATTATTCCAATCTTTAAATAAAATAACTATTTGACATTGTATAAGCCATATAATTTGCCTGACTGATTGATCTGACCACACCATGACCTACTTGTGATGATACCTTAGGTTGTAGATTCTGGGTTTGACTCTTAGCCAATCATCAATTTGTTTTTGCACAAAGGTTGTCCCAGACTTTGTATGTGAACCTTCTCTACAAATGTTTAAGGAAATTAATATATTAACTTTGGTCTCTCGATACATTTATCAAAATGTAATGTATATACACAAAAATAAAAGTAGTTATACAAAAATAAGTGATATGCATCCTGTAAATACTAGGACACAAGCTAGTAGTACCAGTTACTCGACTCCACCGAGTCAGTAATTAATACTTGGGGTGATTTTTATGCTTTTACAACAAAATCCCAGGAAATATACAAAATTTGATCTGCTCAAAGTTCAAAAACTTTATTAAATAAATTTTGTATAAAAGGGGTTATTATAATAAGGAATTTATGGATAATAATAACCCCTGGGAGTGAGGTGATCGCTACCAAGCTATTTTTAATTTGTTTTGTGTGCTTAATTGTATAACACATGATTGTAAGCTATTTTAAAAAAAATGCCACTGTGTTTCTTGCTGGTTCTTCCCAGGACAGAGGTTTTTTTTTTCGAACCAGTGGTGATTAAACAAAAGAGTGACTTTCGATAAGTATTATTTATAATCTATATTAAATAAAAAAGTTTCTGTTTCTACCACAGTGCCTGTGTTTTACAGATATATTGGAATATAATGTTATGCAATTTTATACTTTATACATATTATTCCTAATTTATATTGTAATCTGCTCTCCAGATCCTTATTTGTTTAATTAATAAAAAAACTGTTAGGAACAATGTTATTAAAAACTGTTGTAGCCATAACACCTGCCAAGCTCTGCAACTGTCAAACAACCTGCGATGAGAAACTTCACTTGTTTGGGGTGAAATATGTTCAACAGTGGACTTGTGAAGGGCTGTAATGATAATGATAATGATGATGATGATGATAGTACAGGAAGTTGTAAATCTATCAATTAATTAAAGACTGTATGCACAGTACTATGTTGCACACAAGAAGTAGCAACACCTTTACAATTATTCTGTATTATTCGTAAAGTCCATAAAAGTCATTAATTTACTTATTTATTTATTTTTTATTGCAACACACCTTCAACAAGGGGTTACAAAGAGTGGGCATAATACCCCATAGCATTCTCTACTAGTCCACCCTAAGAAAGATGGAATAAATAAAGATGTTGGTAGAAAAAAGTTGGTTAAAGTATTAACTACTATTCTACCTAAATACAATACACATAAACACACACATACAAGCTCACGCACCCACACACACACATACACAAAGAAAATGGATGAATTATTGTTTACCTGTAAAGAATGTCATTGCACCAGTCTTTTAAACAAAAGTTTAATAGGTATCATTAATTCTTGATTTGTATAAATGTGAAGAATATTTTTTTTGTAATTATAGTGTGACCCATTTCAGAAGGTTATCATTAATGCATGTCAATTAATCAGTAAATTGGAGATGGAAAAATTTTGTTTACCTAATGTAAATAGTCCAGAATAGAATATTCAAATTGTATAATGCGGTTAAAGGTCAAATAAAATCACAAAAGTAATTTTCAACTACAACAAAAAAGCAATTTTGACGGCTCTGTGACACAGTGGCTTAGAAATGAGTTGTAGTGCTAAGGGTCGCGGGTTTGAATCCCTTACCAACAAGTATTTTTATGGCCTACAAATAATTGTTCTGATTCTGAATGTGTGAAATTTAGGTATGTAAACTGCCCCCACAATACAGGAAAAAATTCTAGTGTGGAGGTAACTAGGAATTGATCCGTATGTAGCAAATACAGTTTTGGTTTACCAATAGCATAGTATTAAAATTTGTCGCAATAACTATATTATTAAATAAAGCCATGTAGAAGCCCCAAGCCATAAAAACACATAAAAGAAATTAATTTTAAAACTTTTTTTTATTGGTGATAAGCATTCTTTTATCCATTCATTTCATTAGATTTCAACTAAAGTTATGTGATGGGATCCTAGATGGTAAACGTTGGCATTGAAAATTTGGCATAAAAATCACCTTGATCAAGTAAACTAGTTCTATTCAGGTTCTTTCTTCCTCCAATGTTGCTAAAATATATATGTAAAAAGTAAAAAAATTAAGTTACAGCCTTTAAAAATCGAACTACCGGGAATATTCCTCTTATTTCTGAAAGGATTACAAAGTGATTAGTCTAGTGAGTGTTGACGGAATTTACATGTCACAATGTTTCTCTTCACCGCTAAGCACATGTTAAGTCAGCACTTAAAATTGCAATTAACAATTTCATTGATATTGGCGGTGATAGAACCGCGATTTCACAGTACGTGAGTTCTACGCCGTAGTTACTACGGCTTAGAAATATTAAGATTATATTAGTGTAAAGCAGGGACTTGAAAACGAAATGAATTTCGTTTTGTTACACTAAATGTTATTTCATAACGTTCCAAAGTTTGTAACGATACTAAAACTTAAAATGATTATCAATAACGTTAAAAAATATCATTTTCGTAGAACAATATTTTTTCGTTACGTTATAGGTATCAGTAACGTTATGCCTATATCCGCTTATAATATCGTTACGGGTGAAACGTTACAGATTCACTTGTAATGTTATTCTTAAGAACTCTTTCCGCTGATTTTTTTTTTTTATAGGATCGGGTGACAAACGAGCACACAGTCCACCTGATGGTAAGTGGTTACTGTGACCCATAGACATCTACATCTATCCTCAATAAAGACTCAAGATGCACATGCGTTGTCACCCATGAGGACTAAGATGGAATGCCTCGTTTCCAGTAAAAAGGGTCTCCGGTTCTCTACACTCACCATACGAAACACAGCAGCGTTAAGCTGCTATTTTACGCTGGTTTTCTGTGAGAGCGTGGTCCTTCCCCGTTCGAGCCGAGCCATTCGTGCTACAACCATAATATAGCTGCAGCATGGCTCTACCACGTAAAACTACCGCTTCGTTATCGCACCCTGTACAAGCCACCGCCGCCGTATTCAATTTGCCATGCCATTTCCATTAAATTCAGTAGAGTGCGCATCGCATATTACATTTTTGTTAGATAGGTAGGTACTTATAGCGAAAAAAGAATTAAGTAATAATTTAACTACAGAAGTAATACCTAAGTACTTTATTACAAAACTTAGTTGAAATATACTTCACTTCCCAAGTACCTACTTACATACTTATACTTGTCTTTTGTAATTAAAATATTTTAAGTTATAATAACACAAAATACTGTAATGAAAACTTTGTTTAGAAGATTTTTAACTAAATAGAATACGATCAAATTTCTGTTAGAAATCGTACTTCGGGTTTATTTCTTGTTTACTCTATCTACCTATTTCTTACGAGCCAATCATAGCGATTGCCGACGAATGGCTTTGCCAGTTGTATGCGTTGGGCATCACAGAACTCACATAGTAGCGGAAATATGGTCGATCATAGTCAGAATAGGTACTTTATTTAAGTAACTTACCATTTCGCAATGTATTTTTTACTCTTTATTAACAGCCCTTAATAACCATGGAAAGTCCGTTGTGACGTAGCAAGAAGAAACGATGCAAAGTAATACGGACACTCGCGCGTAGCGACAAATTTTTATTTAACTTGCGTATGCGATTTATCTAATTAATAATAACTATGTAGGCTATTAAAACGTCGGCAAGCAGTCAACATCAAATGAGTGCATCTTCTGTACGTAGTACTGTTATTTATTCTGTGGCGTAACGTTGTTTTGAGTAACGTTTCAAGTCCCTGATGTAAAGTTACAGCCTATATACGTCCCACTGCTGGCCTCAGGCTTCTCATTTCTGAGAAGATTTTTGTTATTATGTATTCGTAATAATATTCTTTTTCGTAGTTATATTAAAATACTCTTAAATTTTTATTCAATTCGTTAAAAAATTATGCGGACCAGATCCCTAAAAATATTGTCTCAAGAAAATGTCCAGCCTGTCAGCACATTCTTTTAAAAAGAAACTCGTCGCTATTGCTACCACAAGGAAACCGAAGTAGGTGACACATCGGCGCTCCTAGTCGGATTCCGACGACATGCGGAAGCTTTTACTGTCTCATCGGGTAATTTATGAAAATTGCATATTAACAAGAAAAAGTTTTGAAGCTAATTTAATTTCTTATTAATAGTTTTGGTATTATAATGTTTTAAAGTGATGTTAGGGGGAACATTTCAACTTTTTACAAATGTTGTCAACAGATCAATGAAAGAAGAGCTGAACAAATAGCGATAAATCCGATTTTTTTGTTTACGTTGTAGAGCCATGCTGCAGGTAGATATATGGTTACAGTACGAATGGGTCGGATCGACCGGTAAAGGGTCACACTCTTACAGAATAAAAATACAGCAGTATCGTTATAGTATATCGTACAGTAGTAGTACAGTAATAATTGCGTAAAATAGCAGCTTATTGCTGCTGTTTTTCGTATGGTGAGTGTACAGAACCGGAGACCCTTCTTACTGGTGACGAGGCATTATATCTTAGTCCTCAGGGGTGACAACACTTCTATATTTTGAATGTTAATGAAGGATAGATGTGTCTATAGGCCTCAGCATCCACCTACTATCAGATGCACTGTGTGCTCGTTTGTCATCCTTATTCAATAAAAAAAACACAAACCCCACACACTGCCGATGCGCGGCTTTACCAGTGCGAGGATATCGGCTTTGCGCTAACTGAGCAGCCGGTGGGCAAATTTATGCTGGTCACTCATATACACAAAAATACAATTCCTCAAGGAAAGTTTACGTGGTAGAGCCATGCTGCAGCTATATTAGTAGTATAGTTGTAGCACAAATGAGTCGACTCGACCGGGGAAGGACCACGCTCTCACAGAATACCAGCGTAAAATAGCAGCTTAACACTGCTGTGTTTC